TTTTTTTTTTTTTTTTTTTTTTGTTGATAAAAGCTTCTAACAATCAGTAAAGATTAGACAACAGCGACATTCTGATCAAATATCAAGTTTTGGTGAAACTTTTAAAGACGATAAACGTGGAAATGTGGCCGAAAATTTATCAAATGTGGTCATTTAAAAACAGCCAACCAAAAAATTTTTAGATTTATGATCTGAACTAAAAAAAGCCATAAAATAAATTTTTATTGTCTAAAAAATTTTTTTCTTTTTTTTTTTTTTTTTTTCCCACATTCTGTCTAATCATTATTGGTATCTGGTGTTTAAAATTTATAACTTACCTTTTTATACCTGAAATTCTGTGTTTTATTTGTTGCAATAAATAACTGAAATTTGGTGTTGAACAATCTGCCAACTGACTGTCTCTTTCAGTAAACTGTTTTTTACTAGCTGATATTTATTTATTTATTTATTTTTTTTCAATCTATAAACGGCTCTCAAAATCTGTAGACTTGGCGTAGATAAATTGGAGAAAAAAAAAAGGGCCAAAAACAACAAATATCAGCAACAAATGTTTCAGAATTTTGTTTGTTTCGTTTAGTACTTTTATAGAATCAAATTGCTGTTAACCTCAGTTGTGATTTGCTCACTGAATTATGAAATTTTAGATACAAACTATTAGCATTCTATTTGCCTTCCTAATATTTTTTGTTTTCTTTTCTTAACACTTCAGCTGTTTCAACTACAAAAATAGTAACGATTTTTATAGTAATAATAATAAGGACGATAATAATAATAGCATTAGTATTAATATTAATATTAACATTGACAGTAATAGCGATAACAATAATATTAACAGTAATAGTAAAAGTGGCATGGATAGTATGAAATAGAATACAAAAAGTTAAACTTTTAACAGTTTTTTTTGTTTCAAATACTATTTGTAATTTTTACCAATTTCTTCTTTTTTTTGCTTTGTTTAGTTCTTTTTTTTTCCGTTTATTGTTGTCGTTGAAACATTTACAGTTTTTATTGATATTATGCGGCCAAAACCAAAAACTCTTTTTGCTCACAATTTACCACGTTGGTTTAGTAGTGGGGATGGTGGTGGAAAAAATAAACCAACGAGGAACTGCCGCACTGAAAATGGTTGTCCTCTGTTGAAAGGGTGTTGCGGATAAAAACGATTGAACATTGGGGCAGGTGAAAAAG